CTTTTGAACTCACAACACCCTTTCTGGAATGTTCTATTGCACTTATCCATGTCATAAATCTTACTGCCAGAGCACTCAGATTTCATCCCAGCGCACTGAGAGAGGGAGAGTGGTGATCCTACCAGAACTAGGTCAAGCTTTCTAGGGACTTTGGTTAGCCCTTCCTTTGAGGGACACAATGAACCTTCTTGATCAAAGGCTCTAGCAAGTTTCTACTACACGTCAATGAGTTTAAGAGCCCCTACTAGGAAGTGCTCCAGACCCTCAGTAAGCATATTGATCTTTACCCAGTGCTAGCAGAAGTTCAGAGTCTCTGGATGGCACAAGGGAGACAAGAGGTTGGTAGTTCAAATCCACTTGGAGTCATCTCAAAAGACAGATAGGCATGGTGGTTTGCTTTCAAAGGGTCACACAGCCTTGACAACTCTATGGAACAGTTCTAGTTTGCACACATCGGGTTACCATGAGCAACAATAAGAGCAGAGGATGTTTAACAGCTTTTAAGTAGATATTGTTCCCCGTACCCATTCTAACAAGGATGGTCTAACCTGCCCCACCTCTACCCCTTATCAAATGCCTCCCCCGGGAGAGCTGTCTTTTGCAGAAGTGGCTTGGTCAGGTGCTTCTTCCCTTACAGGAAATTTGGAACAATAGAATGAAATTATCTTAGGGACATTTTAAGTAGACAGAGAATTTTAAATGAACTTTTACATAGCCAACACTTACCTTGAACGATTATCAAAATGTTTCAACTGCTACTGACATAAATTCTAATTTGCTGGACATACATTGTGGACGGTCTTTGTCAGGAGATGAGAGGTGCTGGGTGCCATAGATTCCAGCCCATAGTGTGAGCATTGGGTACTATTATTCTTGTTGCTTGAGTTCCAGGACCTGAAGCAGATGCTCAATAGCTATTTATTGTTTTATATATAAGCTTTCCACGCAACCTGGTTTGCCCAGAATGGACCCATTTTGCATCCATTGTCCTGGCATTTCATTTGTTGTTGCTGTTGTGTGCCCATCCAGTTGATTCCAACTCCTAGCACCCCCATTTGACAGCATTAAACACCTCCATAAGGCTTCCTAGGCTGAAATTTACATGCCACCACATCTTTTCTCTTGCAGAAAAACCCTCAAAAACTCATGGCCAGTGAGTCCGTTCTGACCGTCATGACCCCAGAGGACCCAGAGCGAGCGGACCCTGTGACTGTCTGTGGCTGCGAATCTTGTGATGGGGCAGAAAACCTCATCTGCTCCTGTGGAGCCGTTTCGAAGGGTGGCCTTGAGGATACCAGCCCAACGAATAGCCCACTACCCCACCAGGGGGTCTTTGAAGAGCCACTGCTGTGTTCAAGTCGCCAACCTCTCAATGAGCAGTCCAGGGACCACTGGGTCCCTTCCATTGCGTTCGCTCCCCCACGGTCATTTCCAAAGGTCTCCCTGCCTCTATGATACATCCCCCTAACCTTAAGACTATGTCAGATGGACAAACAGGCAATCCAATATGATCAAAATAAACCTAGTCTGGTGTTTCCTGAACCTTCCATCCCCTAAGGTGAATGCGTGTGGCATTTTCCAAGAAACTCACCAACTTGATCTAGATTTGCTTCCCTACCCCCATCCCAATCTATAAAACAAAGGACTTGATGTAATGACTTCATAGGCTATGTCAGCTTTCACACACTCTGAATCCCTGAGACTGCTCCCAGACAGAGGTGTTTCTCTCTCTGGGAGCACCTGTGACAGGGCAATCAGTGTCCTCGGGATCTAAAAATGTCTGATCTCTGCAAGAAGAAATGGACAGAGCAACAGGCGGGTTTCAGTGGAGAGTTGACAACAGGCTCCTGGACAAGGGGACAGTCAAACTGATTGTTCACGGTGGAAGAGGGAAAATCCCAGTGCAATGAGGTGGTGAGAAATGCACTTCTGGTGGAAGAGAGAGGGTTAAAAAAGCAGAGTGCTTCCCTAACCACACCCACCTCCGCTGCCCCCTGTTCCAAATCCAGTCTTGCCTCCAGGTTCTGTGTTCAGAGGTAGGTACACTTGCTATCCTCTGCACTTTTTAAAGCCTTTAACAGGTCTTGTGTCTTAGCTTTTATTTTTCTCCAGCCTAAGTAGCTTCAGTTCTTCCAGCCTATCACCCAAACTATGCAGCCCAACTAACGCACTGCCTAGCACAACCCCATCGCTGTAGACACTCACACGGCCTACCAAGAGGGCCTGTCCATAACCAACTTGTGCTTAAACTTGAGAGAATATGTCCCTGCTGTCAACTCGCAAAATGGATTAAGGACACATCCATCACAAGTCACAAGAACCACCACACCACTGGTCTATTTCTTCTACTAAAGAGAAAGCAAAAAGGCTCACAGGATGCTCCACGTCTGTCAGTCTGTCTCCATTTTTTATAACTAAATTAATAACAGACTCCCATAAAGACTTACCGTCTCAGAAACCCACAGGGACAATTGAAGCTGACAGAAGGGCAGTGAATTTGGTTGGGGGGAGGGGTGTTCTGGACACATTGCAGAACTGAAATCGATCAATCTCACTGATCTAGGCTGCTTTTCTAGCAGGGACACTACCATTTTCCTAATCCTACATCAAGGCACAAATCTGACAGCCCTTGTTTCCACACAGATTCCTATTTCCTTCACACCCAAGCATATGCTGAGAGCTTTCAAGCAACACTCTCTCTCCATCTCTGGGAGGTGTCTTAAAACATTTTTAGCTTTACCCAACACAAAACAGAGGAGAATCTGTTTCTTTACTCAAGGATAAGTCTCTTCCACCACCTATTTACATTGCAGCTAGAAAGTTATAGATTGAAATAGACATATTTTCATTCTAAAGATAGCATGTGTGCTATCATACGTCAGGGCTACACTTACATTTTAAAGCCAATCATCAGGGAAACCCCATGGTTGCTTCCCAGTGTTAAAACCAAGTGCCCATCGGAATTAGGTGAGTCGCCTTAACCAGCTGAGGAAGAACATCATCAATCCACTGAACGGGGGCCACATGTAGACCAGAAACTGCCAAAAAATGATAGAAAAATGTTGCTGCTAAAAAAAAACAACATGTCTATGGACATATAGCAAAACTTTATTCAACGCCTGAAACTAGGCTGTGTAAAGTGGCAGCACTTTACTACACAGAACTATTTACATGTAAATGAAATAAAATTTAATAGCATTAGAAAAATATATATAGTTTTAGAAATGCAGTTCCTCCATTAAACTCTATTCAGTACACTTTTATTCTAAATCCAGTTCCTCAGTAGGAACATTTTATATGCCCCCCCCAAAAAAATACATTCTGGTGGTACAATGGGTTAAGCACTGGACTGCTAATCCCAACGTTGGTGGTTCTAAATCACCAGCTGATCCCCAGGAGAAAGAGGAGGCAGTCTTCTTCCTTAAAGAATTGCAGTCTCTGAAACCTATGGAACAGTTCTACTCTGTCCTAGAGAGTCACTCGGAGGCCCAAGGGACTCAGCAGCAGGAGGTTTGGCTATGGGTTATGGTATCATCCCATACGGAGGTCCTGAATGGTACCAAAGGTTAAACACGAGTCTGAAGGTTGGCAGTTTGAATCTATCAAGAGTCACCTCAGAAGGTTCACCTGGAGTGCTGCTTTGCATGTGTGGGATTCTACTTTGCACACGTTGCATCAGAGCTGATTCGAGGGCAATTAGCAACCACAACACCGTCACCTGTGGCTAGTTGTTACCATATCGGACAGCACAGAGAGTAGCCTATTTCCACAAAGAGTAGAATACTCCATTGAACGGTGCTTCTCTGAATGGTCCCATTTGATTACTGATTTAGCATCACATTAAACAGCAGGCTGAAAGAGATCACGGGCCGCAGAGCATGCCCTATGACATGTGACAATTCGTGGTAGGAAAAGGGCAGTGCAAAGGGATACAACTCTGCTCTTGGAATGAGCTTATATGATATGGCATTAACATCTGTATTATAAAAAATGTCCTCCGAGAAGCAGAGAAAATGTTGGCTACAATGGAAAGGAGCCAGTAAATGCTACTGTCTGCATATCTCATCACACTCTTCTAAACATTCGGAAAATACCCACCTTCTCTCACCTGTTTGTGTCTGGCTGGATCTTACACTCATCCCTTAAACACTATGATTCCTTGGTTCACTTCTTGTCCCCAATGTTCCGCTCACTGCAACATTGTTGCACATGTATTAAACACACACACAACCCCATCAAAATAGAAAAAACGAGACTCTTCCCACTTTACAAAAAGAAAAAAAGGCAAGAACTTTATTTTAAATGAATCTCAGTTGTATGTTACACCATGTCCATATCTAAATAAAAAATCATGAAGCTAATGCAAAGGAAACAGACCTGCATAAAAATTGATCACCGCAGTGTTACTCTTGGCCAGTGCTTTCACTAAAACACACAGTGAACGTGAAAGGTACAGCATGGCACTTCAATGAAGAAGAGTAGAGCCAAGGAACATGTTCAGAGTCCAGAGCAACAGGTTCGTAAACCTTTGGTATATGTCTCAAATAAGCATCGTGAACACAATAGCCAATAGTGTTTCATTCCAGGGCCTCTGGGCCTTTTTTCAGTTCTTTTTTTTTAAGCCAGAGATCGTATGCATGAATGAGCTATTAAATAATAATTAGGATAGACATGTGTAAGGTTGATTAAGGTCTCAGGTGTGAGCACACAGGTAAAGTCAAACCATGGCAAAATGAAGTACAGCGGTGTTGCACAACTAAACTGTAAGAAAATGACTGAGATACACCAGTTAGACACCGAGCCTCAGATAGACACTCTCAAGATTGAAAAAAACAAAAAACAAAAAAAACGTTTAATGCTATCTGAAGTTCACAGGCTGGAAGGCAGAAACATCCAGACACCCATAACCACATGCCTAATAGTGTCACGACCATCGCACAGAAGTGTTGTTAGTTGCATATTGCAATTCCCTCCCTCCCACCCAGCCCCCACCCCTAATAAACAGCACCAGTGCAATTTGAGTTAGAAAACTGGAAATACAGAGACATTCCTAGGGTTTTCATAATGACTAAGGGCCAGGCTGATGGGGACTCTAATGCAAAGCTCTGCCACGGCCATTCTCCAAAAAGCAGCCCCGCGTAATTCCCTCTATCTTACAGATGAACGGCCTTCAATACAGTGTAAGGCCAGATTCAGAAAAAGCTGGCATGCTATCCTGGATTAAGGAAGAGGAGCATGCTGATGGAGGTATGAAGGATGCCTCAAGGTTGCCTGTCCTGCAGCCCCCAGGATGAAGGGACTTGTTGAGATAGTCACAGATTTTGTACCAAAAAAGTATCTGGCTCACACCATTCATCAGGATACAGAGCTCAGTAGAACTAACCTTGCGTGTCTACTGTTATCAGGATCAGGCTGGGCCAGGAAAGAAAAGAGCCCAGAGAAATCCATCGCATCCATCTCCCCACTAGTCAAGGATCTCTGTCAGGTCAAGGTGTGACATGTAGTCAGGATGCTACTTTCTCTCCTCTCCCCCAGATGCAAGAGCTTCACTTCACCAGCCGTATCCTACATCTTACTGGCAAGAGTCAAAGATGAAAGGAGGGCAGAGACAGCCAACACTGCCACGCTCCAACAGTCAGGTGCCTAGGGGCTATTTGTCATTCCCCAATCTTTCCCCCAATCGACCTTTTCAAACATAGGCAGAGTCACTGGACTGAGTCCTGCCGAAATTGGGAACACTGACCCGGGGCAGGTCCTTGTTACGGATCTCATAGACGGACTTCCTCTTGGCCTGGGCGCCTCTCACCGCCAACTTGATCTTGCGCCATCCCAGGTGGTTGAGTTCCGCCAGGTTGAGCACCACACAAATGCCACTCACCGCAAACATGAACACTAGAAACACGGTCTTTTCCGTGGGCCTGGACACATAGCACTCCACCTCCTTGATGCATGGGTAGCGATCACACTCGTACAACCCGGGAACACTGAAGCCGTAGAGGAAGTACTGGCCCACCAGAAACCCGATCTCCAGGGCGTTTCGGAACACCACCTGGATAATGTAGAAGCGGGAGATGCCCTCCTGCCTCCGGAGCTTGGACCGCGCTGCGGTGCGCAGCCCGGATGGGTGTGGAGTCAGCTCCTTAACCTCTAGACAATCTGGCTCTGTCTCTTTGCTGGGGTTCTCTGTGTTCTGCAGCACCCCGTTGACAATGGCATTTTGCAACTTCTTGTCTTCGCGCTTGCCCCCACTGCTGCCCCCACCCCCAGTTCCTCCAGGACCCCCCATGGACTCAGGGGGATCTCGGTCCAGGGCTAGGAAGACGGTGGAGTAGCGGCGTTCTCGCTGCTTGGCAGACTGGTGCACTGAGTAGGTGATGAAGCAGAGGCTGGGGGTGCACACCATAATGATCTGGAAGACCCAGTACCGGATGTGGGAGATGGGGAAGGCGCGGTCGTAGCAGGCCTGGTTACAGCCGGGCTGCAAGGTGTTACACACAAACATGGTCTGCTCATCGTCGTACACTGTCTCCCCCACAATGGCCACAATGAGGATCCGGAAGATCACCACCACAGTCAACAGGATCCTGAGCAAGGGAAGGGGGTGGGGGTGGGGGCGGAAAGAGAGGTTCTCATGTGCCCAGTGGCCAGTTTAGGAAACCCCTACTCCTCCCTACCCTGCTCCATCCTTTCCAGAGTCCTCCCACCAGGGAGCTGTCCACCACTGAGGGGAACTACATCTGGCAACCCCCTTTCTCTTCCTTTCCTGAATGCTGGTAGACTGGGAACCCTTCCCAGGACAAGGAACCCAGGTGTACACATCTCCATACAGCCGGCATGGTGTGCTTGCAACAGCCAGATTTCATATATATATATATATATATCTGGAAATTAATGTACACCCCCACCCCAATCCCACTGCCACTGAGTGGATTCTGACACGCAGTGACCCTGTAGGACAGAGTAGAACTGCTCTAAGGGGTTCTATAAGACACAGACTGCCACATCTTTCTACCCTGGGGCGGCTGGTGGGTTCCCAGTCAGGGGCGTGCATCACAACACCACCAAGGTTGGCATGCATGCCCAGAAGCACAAAACACGTCTTCGCTGGGGATATGGCACACAGACTAGGTGTGGGTTCTACACACAGTGGATATAGATAACTCCTCCACACGTTTGTTTCTTTTCGATACAAATATTGAACTTCAAGCTTTATGTAATGCAGCTATCGACGATTGTGTGTAGGGGGTGTGTGTTTGTCCTAATACTTTAAGTTGGAATGCTCATTTTAGTTTAGCTTCATAAATGTTTATTGGGAAGAGCTACATCTGCTCCGAAAAGCAAATCCATCTCCCCATTCGCCCTACTCTGTCCAAATACAATCCTTCCTTCCTTGTGGATTCTATTTAGGGAACCGGATGGAGATTGGCTCTGACTCTGGAGAGTGGGGGACCAAAGCTGAGCCAGCAACTATTTTCCTGAGGAAGGAAGCATGAACCCCCGTGGTGCTTCGCAGGGAAGGGGTAGGGGGAGCTGGAAGAGGGGGGCATTTGGGGGCTTCTGATCATCTCCCGACGTGATGCCCAGAGCTCCGGGTCCAGCGCGCTGACCAAGGGCGACAGGGAGGGCGCAGAGAAGGGGCTGGGGGACTGGGAGGGCTGGATCTGGGACGTGACAAGGGACTCCCCCTGGGGCCGCCCAACGACGGGGCCCGCTGACAGACAGCAGCCCAGCGCCCTTACCTCCCAATCATAGTGGAGTGCTGCTGCACCGCGGCTTCCAGCAGCCTCTCCAAGATGGTCCATTCCCCCATCGCTGTGCATTCGGAGGCAGCAGACAAAGACTGGGCAGCACCGGGCACGCTCCTGCTCCTGGCCCCTCCCTGGGCCGCACCTCCCCACGGGGAACGAATTGACCCCGATGAAAGATGCAAGCAATTTTTTTGTAAGAAAAGAAAAAAAGAAGAACCCCCTTTCCCTCTTATTGTACTTAAAACAGGGAAATAGGGGAATCGATCCAAGAGCGTCTCGACTAACAGGGCAGCCGGCGAGGTCCGCAGAGCCGGCAGGAATCTCGGGTGCCGTCCGGGGTCGGGTCTCGAACCCGCGGACGCCCGGGCGAGGGGCGGGGCGGGGCGGGGGCTGACAGCCTGCAGGTCCGCGGGAGAGCCTTCCGGGAGTGCGGGTCCCGGGAGCGTCCGGGCCGCCAGCCCCCGCGCCGGGCGCTTGGCTGGGCAGCGGGCAGTCCTGCGCTGCCGCCTGCGAGGAGGCCGGGGCGGAGCGGGCTGCCGGGCTCCGAAATCCGCGGCCGCCGCCTCTAATCCGCCTTTAAGTAGTCTCCGTCTGCGTCACGCCAGGTCGGCGGAGGGGAGCCGAGCGCGCCGCGCGACAGTCGCTGCGCGCCGGAGCCCAGGGGAAGGGAACGCGCGCGGGAGGGAGAGGGGGGCAAGAGTCCAGGGGGCCCGGCGGGGAGTGGGGCGACCTCGAGAGGAAGGACCGCCGGGCCCCTCTGGGCTTCTCTCGGCGCCCAGGTAACCTCACCTGACCGCCAGCCCCCTGGCAGCAGGAGGGGGAGCGGGAGCAGACGCGTGGGGACCCGGGGAGGGGCTAGAGTGGGTCGAGTATCTTCTCTCTCTCAAACATCCCTCGCCTTTCACTTGCGGTCTTGGAGGCGAGGAACTGAAATTTCCCTTTTCAGATGGAGAGGCTGTGGGGCTGAGCGGTGGAAGCAGGGGTGTCGAGGAGGGGGGCATTTAAATCGCCCTTGGTGCCCGTGAGACTGGGAGTGAGGCTGCAGGGCTGAGGGCCCCTGTGTATCCGGATGCTGGGGTGAAGCAGCCTTGAGGCGAGTCCGTGCAAGGTGAAATGTAGCGTGGGTGTGAAGCTGAAGCCGCCGGGGAGAATGGGGGTCCAAGTCCAAGTACCTCACAGGTGCCTAGTGGCCAGAGAGTCCGTTGGGGGGGGGCGGGGGGGGCGGAGGTGATGGTTCTCCCAGGGGCTAGTCAAGACACTCTGCTTTGTAAATTTTCCCTTTTCTTATTTTACTAATGCGGGGTGAAGGGGTCTGCCCCAGGTCGAGTCTCCATTTCAAGGAAATCCCAGAATTCTGTAACTAAAGACAAAGCAAAACAAAAAAAACTCTCACCAACTTCTTCCCTGACCCCCACCCCACCCCCTCACCCCCTCTTGCCTGGTCTTAACTGTTCTCCCTTCAGCCGGCAGATCCTGATTTCTGGTTTTAAATGTTACCTGTTGTTGTCAGCTCCCTCCAGAACTACTGCTTAATTGGCCGCTGAAAACTGAAACACCTCACCAGGCTGCTAATGAGCTCAGGGGTCAGTATTAAGAAACACAATAGTGGGGAGAGTTTCATACAAATATACCAGAAGCATAATGGTAGTGAGTTGTCAACCTTTTAAAAATGCAACTGAGAAAGGGTTGGAAATTGGCAACTCATTGTAGGGGGCAGTTGTGGCCCTAATTACCCATAGTGCATCTGCATTTGGGCATCACACACCGTGATGAGCCTTCCAGTGAGAGCACCTGAAGTAGCTGGGTTGGTGGTGGCCAGGGTCTGGGAAGCAGGGTGCAGAGGGTGGGGGTGAGTCCTCCGGAATGCACTTGTGCATACACTGACTTTTAAAGGCACACGCCAAGCTTCTGTGGGAGCAGGCTGGGAGATCTCTCTTAGGGTCCACTGACACCTGTAGCCCCAAGGAAGCCACTTTGCATCGAAAAGGAGTGAAAGAGTCACTCCAAATTAGAGACTCTGACAGGATATCAAGGAACCCTGCTTGTGCCGTTGTTAAGTGCTTGGCTGCTAACCAAAAGGTCAGCTGTTCAGACCCCACTACCCACCCACTCCATCGGAGAAAGATGTGATCGTCTGCTTATGTGAAGGTTTATAGTAACCAAAAGGTCAGCTGTTCAGACCCCACTACCCACCCACTCCATCGGAGAAAGATGTGATCGTCTGCTTATGTGAAGGTTTATAGCCTTAGGAGCGGCATGCGGCAGTTCTAGGCTGTGCTACGGGGTCCTGGGAAGTTGGAACCATGGTGTAAATGAAACATCAGAACTCAAGTAGGCCTTCCCTAGGGCCTCTGCTGAGCAGAGAGGAGGTGTGAGGGGCGGGATGGGTAGATATTTTATTCGCTATTAGATGGAATTGGTCCCCACCTCAGACTTGGTATGCTTTCCCAAGCTTCTCTCCTCCTCCCTTAGGCTCTGGCTCCCTGGCAGACGTTAGGAGTAAAGGGTTTCAGATAAGGAGTGAATGGGCAAGAAAGGCCCAAGGGAAATCTCTTTATCTTTAAATGTACCAGAATAGGCTGCATCATTCCAAATTTTGTTGTACCCATGTGGTTCTCCCACACACTTAAGGTGGTGGGCTTAAGGATGTAGGTTGCAGGAAATACATTTAATGGATTTATTTATTTGGAGAAAATGCATCTTATACATTCTCTCAATGCACTTGTCAGTTATGGCTTTATTGTTTTGAAATAAGAGTGCTGTATAGATTCAACATATTGTTGAGCATGTTGTTGATGATGTTATTTTTGTAAGGTGCCATCAATTGGTGCCGGCTCATAGCGACCCTCTACACCATAGTCCTCACAGTTGTTCCTATGCCTGAGCCCATTGCTGCAGCCACTGTGGACCCATCCTGCCAAAGGCCCTCCTCTCTCACTACTTGACCAGGCCCCTCTACTTCACCAGGCATCATGTCCTCCCCACGGACTCGTCTCCCCTGACAGGATGCCCAAAGTACGTAAGACACAGTCTTGCCATCCTCGCTTCGAAGGAGCCCTCTGGTCCTTCTTCCCGCACAGCTTTGTTTGTCCTTGTAGAAGTCCAGGGTGCGTTAGATCGTCTTCTCCAGTGTTGCTCTTCAAATGCATCGAGTCTTCTTCGGTCTCCCTTACTCATTGCCCAACTTTCACTGGCCTAGGAGGCAATTGAAAAATACCATGGCTTGGGCCAGGCACACCGATGTCCTCAAAGCTTTTCAATACTCTAAAGAAGTCTGGTGCAGCACATTTACAGAAGCGATATGTCTCTTGACCCCTTGACTGTTGCTTGTGTATCTAAGCAATACAAAAATCCTTAACAACCTTTTTTCCCCTTCAACATGAGGTTACCTATTGATGGCGTTGTGAGGACTTTGGTCTTCTGTACATTGAATGTACCAGTACATTCCTACTGAAGGCTGCAATCCTTGATGTTCATCAGCAAATATTTCCAACTCTCCTCATTTTCAGCTAGCAAGGTGTGTCATCTGAATATCGCATTTTGTTAATAAACCCTCCTCCAATCCTCATGCCACATTCTTCTTCGTACAATCCAGTTTCTCTGATGATTTGCTCAGCAGACAGGCTACAACCCTGATACATGCCTTACCTGATTTTAAACCATGCAGTATTCCCTTGTTCCGTTTTAACAACTGCCTCATGAATACACATGTATCTAATAGAGACCTAGAAACGCATGCACAACTATCTATATACAGAGATTCCTACCTATGGCAGTGTTGTGGTGGTTGTTAGCTGTCTTCATTTAGGCCCCTGGCTAAGATGACCCAGACATAGCAGACACACTACCCAGTCCTGTAAAATCCTCATGATCAAATCATTGTGATCCACAGGGTTTTTACCGGCTGATTGTTGGAAATACGTTGCCAGGCCATTCTTTCTAGTCCATCATATGAGGGGTACCTCCCTCAAAAACGGAAAAGGCTCCTTTGGGTGGATCTTTCATACTACCCACTTTTCCTGCTAGGGGAGCATTACACAACTCACTCTGAGTTAGTGCACCCGATGACATCGCCCGGGAAGATTCTCTCTGGTCACAGTGAATTTTATCATAAAAGCAGTTTCACTTGAACTTAGTTTTATGTGGCAGCCGGTTTAAGAGAATAGCATGCAGCTGTAAAATTGTGTTTCTTGCTCGGGAAAAATGCCACAGAAGCTGTTGTGATGTTGAACACGGCTTACATGGACAGCGCTGTGGGAAAAACTCAAGTGGACGAGTGGTTTTCTCTTTTCAAAAAGGGTGAAATATCAATTGACGGAAAACCTCAATAGGGACATCCATCAACTTCCCCAACAGACAAAAATGTCGATTCATTGTGCTTTCGGAGTCCATTCCACCAGGCCAGACTCTTAACCAAGCTTTCTATTTAGAGGTTCTGAAAAGATTGCATAACCCTGCAGGACCGAAAAAAGGCCTGATTTGTGACAGACAGGGGACTGGTTTCGCCACCATAACAGTGCACCTGCTCACACAGCCATCTCCGTGGGCCAGTTTTTGGCTAAAACAGCACTCCTTTCTTGCCCCACACACCTGACTCACCTGACTTTGCTTGGTGGGACTTCATTTTGTTTCTGTGAATAAAGAGGGACATGAAAGGACAGCAATTTGATGATGTAGAAGAGGTGAAGAAAAACACAAGAGTAGGTGCTGTCAGCCATCCAAACATGAGTTTGAAAAATGTTTCCAAGAATGGAATCCCAGACCTGACAAATGCAGTGTCATGGTGAGTACTTTGAAGGTGATAGGTTATTTTGTTTTAAAAAAATGTAAATACATAGCTTTAAAAAAAAATTTGGCTATTTTGTTTGTGGTCGGGGAGGTATCCCCCTCATAGTCTGGGAGCTCTGTTGAAACCTATTCAGCATCATAGCAACACCCAAGCCTCCGCTGACAGACGAGCAGGAGCTAGCTACCCATTAAGTATCTTGTATCTTGACTGAGAACCCAGAGTTCTCACTGGAAAGGCAAGAGTTCTACCTCTAAATCACTGATGCTCCCCAACCCCCCTACCGCATTACACTAAATAATCTATATATAAGGGAGTCCTGGTAGCTTGGTGACTTACTCATTTAGCGTCGAAGCCACCAAGAGAGAAAGGTGGAATTTATCTGCTCCAGTGAAAATGGAAAGTTTCAGAAACCCAACGGGACGGTTCTCCTTTGCCCTACAAGGTCACTAGGAGTCAGAATTGACTTCACAGCAGTGGTTTGATC